TATATCATGTAATTATGCCTTCTTTTGTAATCGCTATTCTTTGGGTCGTTTGGTTGAACGACAAGTTATGCTGGAATAAGTTATACTGGAATTAGTTATTTTGGTATTATTTTTTATTGATTGTTTGGTATGTTGTATTAATTCTGTAATGTTAATTTTATTACTTTATCCTGAGATAACTTATCCGAAGATTATTATGTCACCCTCTGACAAATATAAGTTATTCTAGTACTATTTTTAATCTATGAGATAAAATATTCCAGGATTAATAACTAAACAAGGAATAAGCAATACTAAATTTTTATCCCATGATTATTTTTGCTTATTAATCATACCAAATGAACTCTAAGTAGCTTCTGCTAGGATAACGTTACATTATAATAACTAGGGGTGTACATAGGTCGGGTTGGTTCGGATTTTACAATTACCAAACCAAACCAATTGTGTCGGATTATTAAATCTAAAGACCAAACCAAACCAATAAAACTCGGATTTTTCAATTTCGGGTTTTCTCGGGTTTTCGGGTTATTCGGGTTTTTTTTCCCCCGTAAAATCTTCGTAGAACAAAACATATAACGTATGCTCAAAAAATTTCTTTAATCCTAGTAAGATACAACTATATAATATATTTTCCAAGAAAATAATACAAAATATGAGACGTGTCATGACATTATCCTAAAATATTCAACAATAAAATTATGTAATATAAATATTGCTAATTAAAAAGCCATAATAAAAATATACATAATCTAAAAGTACTAAGTCATGCTAAAATAAATAGATTAATAAGAGAGTATTAATTACATGACTAAACGCTAAAGAAAAATGAAAATAGGTTATGCATTTTTATCTAAATTATTGCAAAACAAAAAATAGATATTCAATACATTCCCGATCGCAATATTGAATTGAATGTCTTTTGTTAGCATTAGTATTGATTTGATTTTGGTTTGGGCTTTTGTTAGCATTATTTAATTTACTAATATTAATAGCTATAAAACTTATTGGAATATTCAAAAGTTCTAAGTCCAATCTTGAAATAATACATTAAAAGATAAAATTATGAAATTTTTTAAGAAATATTTATAAATTACATCACAATAAGTATATTTATATATTAAATATATCTAAAATTTTTATATATGTAATGTCGAGTTGGTTTGGTTTCAGTTTGACTTTCTTTAGTTAAAACCAAACCAAACCAATTATGGTCGAGTTTATTTTTCTAACACCAAACCAAATCAAACCAAACCATAGTTGAGTTATTTTTCTCGGTTTGACTCGGATTATCGGATTGATGCGATTTGTCGGTTTCCTTTGTACACCCCTAATAATAACATTTTGGGCACTTAATTTTTTATATGCTAGCTATATCATCAAACGACTTTACTTTAATCTTTTATAATAACATTTTGGACACTTCGTTTTTATTTTTTATTTTTTTTAATTTATAGAACAAATATTCAGATTAAAGGTACTTTAGGTCCACCCCCAACGGTTCACTTTCAGAAGCTAACATAAAATCAAACTTATCCCATTACATCATTTAGCTGAAGGGAGATGAAAATTAAAAAAACTCCAATTAAACATCATATTATTATTACTCGTCTAACATTGAAAGATTGCACGAAACTAATTAAAGTTGCAGGTCCAATTTCACCTATCTATTTACAATAATAGATTCAAATAAGTATTAAAGATCATCAGTAGCTACTTGCAATAATGCTAGTAATTTATCATTTTAGTACTGATACGAGTTATCATCTGCACAGCAAGCAACTAATTAATTATACATAAGAAAATTTAATTGGACTTTTCTGGATGAATGACGCATTATTAATGTTTACTTCTCGTGTTCTTATTTTTCATACATCAACAAAGATATCCACCAAATTGATAGGGGGGAAAATAGAAAATTTTATGTTCTTGATAAAATAATACATTATATATCTTAGTGATCGTTTTGAGTATAATTAAAGGCTGACGAACAATTTATGTTGTCAACCAAGTCCGATTAAAGTGGTTTGAATTAGAGGGTGGCTCCACGAGACTTAGCAATTAGTTTTTTTGGGAGGCAATTTGTTCCTTTTCGTTTGGAGTTTTGAGTGGAAAAAGTCTCACCTTATTGTAGTCTAACGCTAGGGTTATGCATTTCTCTGTAATAAAATAAATAGATGAAGAAAGGGACTGACTCATTCTCTGGTTTAGAAGTCCAACTTATCTGCGAAATCATGAACCATGACATCAAAAGAGGTTATTATTATAATGTTAAAGAACCAATATGGGAAAAGATGGAATTCTTTAGCAATTATGATCAAATGATATCTGGGGGGAAATATTTGCTAGGGAAGTTTGCTTTATTCATATGCTTTTGACCCTTATCCCCAACGGTAATATATGACGATCAGGGTCAATCCAGAACTCTTTTTGCCAGTATTTTATTTTAATTATAAAACATTAATTAAATGGATTTGTCGGTTTACCAGTTTTGTTTCCAGATAAATTCAATGGATTTGTCCCATTTGGTAACTGTGTCGTAGCTTTTTATGCAATTATCCCACCAAGAAGCAGCTGGGCTATTAACCAATAAAAAAAAAAATTTAAGTAAACTTTGCACATAAGACGTATGTATAAAATTAGCAGCAGTAAAGCCCCCAACATTGCAATTAAAAATTGTGATGAAAAGAAGGAAATTTTAATATTATACTATTTTAACTGGTGTTTTCATAGAGTATATCGTGTAAGAAATATTAACTCTTAATCAATGTTCTCAAACATCAAGGGAAACTTCGCAAAATATTTAACTCTTAGGTGTGCTTTGTCTATATTTGCTAATGAATATTTACTATTTGAAATATCCTTTATGTGTCAACTTTCTCTAGATTGAACACTACATATTATTTGGCGATTCTATAATTTTAGCTAAGTTTTTAGATAAAGTTATTATATTTAAATTTCGAGTATGATTTTAAAGATAGTTATAAATAATAAGTGAGTATAAGATATATTTCGAGGAGATATTTTATTTTTATATAAAAAATAATAACTTACATTAAGTAATTCATCAAATATTTTGAGTACGTTCAAAGTTGAAGGAAATCAATTATAACCCAATTCATCATTTCATTGCTAGGTAGTGAAACCATTTCGAACATGATCATTCTAAAAAAACATTTGTGTAGCTCAGTTTCTTTACTATCACAATTCTATCAAAAGCTTTGACAAATAACACTAACTTGGAACTAATAGATGACTATATTAAGCTTGAGTATATAAAAGTTGACACGATAAAGTACAGACATACTAAATTAAGAATGAATCACCATTTTTCTTTTTTATTGATTTTGCTTGATATTATAATTAACAACTAATTAGTGAAGAATAAAAACAATGGTATAGTATGTATAAGTCTTTCAATGGTTACCACCAGGTTCTCGGCATTGTTTTTTCATTTGAAACAAAGTTTAAGGATTTTTCTATTCTTGTTTTTGTTTAAGCTTAGCTTAAAAAATACGGAGCAAATATTCGGTTTCACGTGGAGTAAAATCTCTACATACAACATAACTGGGGCTGACAATTTGGGCCTTAAAAATGCCTCAAATTTTTTATTTATTTACTAAAATGTGATAGCAATTGAAGTAATAATATACAAAGGCAGGGGCAAAGATTTTCTATAAAGCAGACATATCAGGGAAATACAGCACAAATGGGGCTGACATGAGTCCTTAGAATGCGTAAGAAATTTCTTTTATTTACAAAACTTTGTGATGGCAATTGGGGTAATAATATGCAAAAGGAGTGGCAAATATATTTTAGGTAAAGCAGGCATGTCGACGAAGAACACCCTGCTTCACCTAGTAGGGGTGTTTATCGGGCGGATTGAGCGATTAATTACTCTTAACGGTTTGAACGGTTATCGGCTTTTAAATGTATTAATCCGTTAGCCACTCGATAAGATTTCGAGCGGATTGGTATCGGTTTAGATCTTATCGGGCGGTTTATCAGCCTAATTCAATCTATATTGCGTGTATTAATAATTAACGCCTACGTAAGAATGATGTAGTGTGTCATGTATTGTAGAATGAAAAGATGAAACAATGGCTGCCAACCATCACATAGAAAAGCAAGAATATGGATGGGAATCACTGTACCAGTCATCATTTATATGCATTGAAGAGCGATCATAATCATCAAACTGAGAAAACAACATTTCCTTATTCATTACATACAACAACATTATACAAGTAGCCTAGTAATGTTTTAATGGAGGAAAAGACTATTGTTTCCTTATTGATTTAAGATCATATGCTAATGAATATCCATTCAACTAAACCATTCAAATTGCAGAGAGAGATCATACAGTAGGGTACATATACCTGCTGGTTGAAATTTAGGTGTTAGGGTTTTTGATTATTTAGGAATTAGACGTTAGAGATAGAGTACTGGAAGTGGAAGGGTTTTTGATATTTAATATATNACCGATTAGCCGTTAATAAAAAAATTTCAATTTGTTCCCCGTCCGTTAAACTGTGAATCCGATACCAATAAGCCATTAAACTTCGTTTTCGATTTCGGTTCGGTTTTGAACACTCCGATCACCTAGTACATTCCCACTTCTAATATTGTAGATAGAATATAACTCTCTTTAATTATCAAAGTGGCAAGTGAAGGAGCTTTGTAATTTTGGTAAAAATGTTTTACTATAAAGGCAATTTGGTCTCTATCACTCACCAGCAGAATAAATACAAATACAAAAATATCTAAAACTCAAGGTGGCAAGTGGAGGACCTTTGTAATCTTCGTAAAAAAAGCCAATTCGGCAGCTCTCTCTCAACAGTTGAATAAATCCAAACATAAAAAGTCAAAATTTCAACAATCACGCGTTGCTTTTCCTTTTCAACCATCTCCATGCCCTTTAGCCTTCAGTCAACGTTTCTCTACCTCCCTTCTATAAATACCCCTCTCCTTCAAAATCCCCATCAATCTACCTATCATCTTCTCTCTCTAAATCTCTCTCCCTCTCTCTAGAAGTTGAAATCTTTACTTGTGAAAGAAGCAAAATGAGGACTGGTTTTTTCTCTTCACCTATACATTCTTCTACTACTTCTAATTCTCCTTCACGTCATACTACTTTTTCCGAAACTTTAATGGAGGAAACAATTAACGACGCTGGAGCAGTTATTAAAAGATGGGATATAGACGTTTCCTCTTCCAGTAGTTCTTACAATAGAGTCGCTAATCTTTTCCGAGATTATCGTGATGAGGCACATCAATTTCTTGACGCTGTAAACAGATTACAACATGGTATGCATTTTGTTATTAAAGAAAGTTCCAGATCCGAACTCCTTATTCAGGCTCAAAATCTCATGCAAATTGCTATGAAGAGACTTCAGAAAGAAATGTACACTATTTTATCTGGGAATCGTTATTTCTTAGACTCAGAAACTGTGTCTAATTCTCGATCCTCTAGAGCATCAACTCGGTCCAGTGTTTCCGACGAAGATGATGAAATTAATGAGATAATTGATGCTGAGGTTTCGGTTTCAAGTACTCGAGTTTCTGAGATTGACAAAGTGTCTGAACGTGTCATGGCGGATTTAAAAGCCATAGCTGATTGTATGATTGGTGCTGGTTATGGTGCAGAGTGCGTTAAGATTTACAAACTTAATCGAAAATCAGTTGTTGATGAAACTTTGTATTATTTAGGTGTTGAAAAATTAACCTTATCACAAGTTCAGAAAATGGATTGGTCATTGCTGGAGCAGAAAACTAAGAATTGGTTAAGTGCTGTGAAAATAGCAGTGAGTACACTTTTCCAAGGGGAAAAAATTCTCTGTGATCACGTTTTCTCTGCTTCTGATTCAATTAGAGAAACGTGCTTTTCCGAAATTGCTAAAGAGAGTGCACTCACGCTCTTTGCGTTTCCAGAAATGGTGGCAAAGTACAAAAAGTTATCTCTTGAGAAAATGTTCAGTGTGCTTGATTTGTACAACTCAATTTCCGAGCTATGGGATGAAATCGAGTTGATTTTTAGTTTCAATTCGTTAACAGTGGTCAAATCTCAAGCGGTGACGTCACTGGTCAAACTCGGTGAAGCCGCGAGGTTTATGCTTTCGGAGTTCGAATCGGCGATTCAGAAAGATTCATCCAAAGCGGTGGCATGCGGTGGGGTCCACCCTCTGACTCGGTACGTTATGAATTATCTCGTTTTCCTCGGCGATTACAGCGGTGCGTTTTCTGAAATAATCGTCGATTGGCCGCTGTCGATACAATCGCCGTTGCCAGAATCTTACTTCCTCAGTCCAACTCCCGACGACTATGACTCGCCGTCTTCCGCCGTCTCCGTCCGCCTTGCGTGGCTAGTCCTCGTCCTCCTGTGCAAACTTGACGGCAAAGCCCAGCACTATAAAGATGTTTCATTATCCTATCTGTTCTTAGCGAACAACTTAAACTACGTCGTTTCAAAGGTCAAAAAGTCAAACCTAAAGCTTTTGCTTGGATCCGATTGGTTATTAAACCATGACGCTAAGGTAAAACAGTACATTTCAAATTACGAGAGAATGGGATGGAGCAAAGTACTAACGTCATTCCTGGAAAATTCTACGGCTGAGATGTCTCCACCTGAAGCAAGAGATTGGTTCGTCACATTCAATTCGGATTTTGAGGAAGCGTATCGAACGCAGAGTTCGTGGGTTATACCCGACCCGAAACTCCGAGACGGAGTCAAAATATCATTGGCTAAAAAAGTTATTTCCGGTTACCGGACGTTTTACGAAAAGTATCGGGAAATACTAAGAAGTGGCGGAGTGAAGTCAGTTGTCAGATTTGCCCCTGATGATTTGCAAAATTACTTGTCGGATTTATTTCATGGAACCGGGTCTTCAGAGCATGGGACGACGTCGTACAGCTTATCACATTCATCGCCGTCAGTTTCAACGTCGTCATCTCCGTCACATGGCCGTTGAGAGTTAACAGAAGACATTTTTGTACATGGAATAAAATATTTTATTTAATTTGCGTATAGAATTTTGTGAGTATAGTGGTATAAGAAAATATATTCAATTCATTCATTTAATGTAAAGAAAACACTTGATGCATATAGTTGTCTTTTAGATTTGGATGTTTTCTTTGATTGTGTTGTGGACTAATAGGCTGGCCGTTTTCCATGAATTTGACGAATTCCCATCTAAATTGAAAAGGTCACCTCAACTTGGCTCTTCTTATCGGGTACCTACTATCTATCGTAGGTTCCTTTGTAAACACTCAATTGTTACCACTAGACGTGTACAAATGAAACCGACAAATCGTATCAATCGATAATTCGAGTCAAATCGAAAACAAATTCGATTATGGTTTGATGTTGTAAAAAGAAAAAACCGATCATATTTGGTTTAGTTTAGTTTTAACTAAAAAAAAGTCAAATCGAAACCAAATCAACCCGACATTATATTTATAGAAATTTTAAATATATTTAATACATAAAAATATTTATTGTAGTGTAGTTTATAAATATTTCTTAAGCTTTTTTATAGTTTTATCTTTTCACTTATTATTTAAAGTTTGGACTTATAATTTTTGAATGTTCCAATAAGTTTTATAGTTCATAAATGTTAGTAACTCAAATAAATCCTACAGCAATATCAAATCAATACTAATATTAATAAAAGACATTCAATTCAATTGTACTATGAATGAAAATAGTGTTGGATATCTTATTTTTTCCGTGGTTTAGATAAGATGCATAACTTATTTTTCTTTTAGTGTTAGTCATGTAAATAATAATACTTATTGGTCGTACTTATTTTAGCAACTTATTAGTAATCTTAGATTTTTTTTTTCATTATGGCCTATTAATAATACTTATTTTATGCGATTTTATTATCTTTATTGTTTAATATTTTAGTATAATGCCATGATTCATCTCATATTTATGTTATTTTATTAAAACACCTTATATAGTACTATATAAGAACTATATTATGTTATCTTACTAGGATTAAAGAAATATTTGGAGCACAAATTCTATACGAGAGTTAGGGTTTCAAAGGAACCAAATAGAAATCGAAAGAACCTGTTGTAAACTTCACCGATCATAACATATCCAAGGAACCAATTTTGCCCGATTAAACAGGCTACCTTTGATACAGGCAAAAGAGATTCGATCACGTCAGCTCCTAAACATCGGCTTCGAGATACTCAGCCTCCGAGCCAAACCAGTACGACCTTATTTCAGTGCCATGACAAAGAGTTCCTACTGCCCACCAGCTATTTAGGGTTCTTTTAGTGGGTATTCAAGCCATCAAGGTCAGACGTGCTATGAAGACTTTATGGAAAAAAAATCCGAAAACCTGAGAAAAATCGAGATTGAAAAATCCGGATCTTATTGGTTTAGTTTGGTCTTTAGATTTACTAACCCGATATAATTGGTTTGGTTTGGTAATTAGAAAATCCGAATCAACCCAACCTATGTACACCCTTAGTTTCAATTATTAGGAAAATGAATTGATGACTCTTGATATAATCTTGAGCAGTTTCATCTCGGGCTAACTTTGTGCTATTTGTATATCATGTCCCTTTATAATTTTAAATTTAAAAAAATAATTTTTTTAGTTTTCTTATGTGTAAAAGTAAATCTCCCATGTGTAAAAGAGGTAGGGTTATAAAACTAAAAATAAGTTTATAAAGAGCCAAAAAATTAATTGACCCGCTAATTTTTAAGGTTGAATTAGATTAAATCTTTTTTTAGCACAACTAAGCCAGCGACAAATCAGATCTAAACTTCGTGAATCAATTAGTGCAAGTAATTTTTTTTTTCTATAACGCTGTGAATTATCATTGATAACAACAAATAAAAAAAAATGCTATGATCCTTAGGCCTTAAAACATCCATTAGTTACACAATATTTTCTTTGCAAAAACCTTAGAGTTGTGTACTTTTCTACACTGTTTAAGTACATCTAATCTTTTTACAATCTTTTTTTTTTAAATTTGTGTGACTACCATCTCAGTATGTACAACTATTCCATGAAAAGCTTTCACTTTCTAGTTTTTCATGTATGGTAGCGGTGGCAAAATGGATAAAAAAAGAGAAATTTTCATAAAACACCATTTTTTAGTAGTAATTAGTCATTTATAGATATCATTTGCTATATTACGGATTATAGATACATTTTTTGTGGTTATAAGATGTATTTGATGTTTTTAAGCTATTGTATTCATGAATACAGTAGCAAAAATAGGCGTGAATCAGGGAAGTCCAACTAATCAGTTGTTGTATTCGAGTGTATTCGACTGTATTCATGGAGTAAAACGTGGGATTACAGCTGAACAAATTATTGTATTCGACTGTATTCACGGCGTGAAATAAGGGATTACACTGTTTTTAAAACGGAAAGTGAATCAATTAACATAATAGACTCCTAATATAACTCAACAAACTCAATTATAACACACAAATTTTGTATTTTCAGTTATAAAAAAGATTCTCAACAAAAATACCCCCAAAAATATAACAATCTTCAGAGAAATTATATAATACATCTGAATACATAAATTATATTAATCAAAAAAAATATATGAATACATTCATGGCATATAGCGAGACAGTGAATACAATAAAATACATAGAATACAATGGGATACATTGAAATACAATGAAAAAAAAGACAGTGAATATAATGAAATACATGAAATACAACGAAATACATTGAATTACAATGAAAAAAAAGACAATGAAATACATGAAAATACATTGAAATATATTAACAGAAAATCAAGTTAGTCAGCCCCAAACTCCATCGTCTTTGTTCAAGAACAAACCCTAATTTTCGGCGAATCCGCCGTTCACCGGAAGCTGGTAGTGAAAACGCGCTGCCTTGGTCCGGCGATAGTGCCTTCAATGGCAAAAAACAATGTCAAAGCCATTTTCTCTAAAGGAGTAGAAATCTCATCAAGATCTAAGCACTGAATAGTACTTGGTATAAAAAAAGGGGTAGAATTGTCAAATAAGGAGGAAGGGAGAATTCCATACAGGAAAGGACAGAAAAGGATGGTAGCAACGGGGATGTTGACGAAGGCGTAATGAAGTCATTTTCTTCTGGAAATGGAATTGGGCCCAAAACGAGAAGTTTTATTTTGTGTCTCATACAACTTACACTAGTTGTATGAGGTTCCTTTTTATCTCACAAATTTGTGGACCCCAATCTTACACTTCTGGGTCCACAGAAATCTAAGTCCACAAAACTGTGAGACAAAAAAATTGCCTCATACAACTAGTGTCAGTTGTATGAGACACAAATAAAATTTTCCGCCCAAAACCCAAATACACAAAACAGGCCATTACGTAGACCATTTCATTCGGTGGAGAAAATATGTGAGGAAGGACATATTCAAGTGCAGACGGACGGTACGATATATTCACCTCCATGCCGGAGAGTTCTGGAAGTAAGATGGAGGTAGAAGATGAGAGAGAGAGGACGAATAGATATGGGGTAGGAGATACAAGAAATTTGAGGGAATAGGAGAAGTTTGAGTGGAGAGAGAAAAATAAAACAAAGCTTATTTTATGGCTTAAAGGTAGGAGGTGATCATAAATAGATATCTGGCTATAAAAAATCAAAAGGTAGTTATGGAATATAATTTTTTAAAAGGGTATTTATTTAAAATAAATAAGATATCAACCTTTGCTATAGGAAGTAACTAATCCATAAAAAACGGTTATCTATTTATATCATCCACTAAAAAATGGGGCGGATAATAAATTTTTTAAAAACGAGTCAAATATAGATAAGAACCATATTATCCACTTAGAAAATGGATAACCAATGGATAAATAATGGCTTCAACTTCTACATTTGTAAAGACTCAAATTGAGGGTTCCTTAAGCTTCGAAGACTAAGCTAGCGTTTGGCCAAAGATTCCCAAATTTATTTTGAATTTTTTTATTTGAGTGAAGTTTGATTTGAAGATGAAAATGTGTTTGGACATAAGTTTTCAAACACACACACACACACACACACATATATATATAACGACCCGTATTTTCCACCCTCGGGAGTCGTAATGGCGCCTACTAATGGGAGCTAGGCAAGCCAAACTTTAACTACTTGCTGCACTTTCATTTTTGCCTCTTTTAACAAACACAAGCCGATAATATGATAAAAACGGAATTTTAAATAAATAAGCGGAAGTCAACAATTATATATCTTAAAGTTACGTCTATTACGACCTTTAAAACCTCAAATACCCAAAACCTGGTGTCACAGTGTCACAGACTGTCTAAGAGTTACTACATACAAGGTCTGAAGAAAATACAATACATTATTTCTAAACAAAGGAAATGAAACAGAAAATAGAGATAAAGGGAGACGCCAGGGCCTGCGGACGCTTGCAGGTCTACCTTGGGTCTCCGAGTGGACTGAAGGAAGCCCTCCAACTACTGTCCGAAAGAT